TACATACATATTTGATGGGTGTATGTATATAATTAGATATATATATATATATATATATTAGAGTGTGTGCAAATTTATATATATATATATATATATATAAATGCATAATAAATGTGATATTATGCATGCATAGTATATGTATGTATGGGTATGTGAGTATGCATGAGGTGGAAAAGGGGATGAGTCGGTTTAGCCGACTTGCTATATTTGGGAGGTATAAAAGAGGGCTTCACCTCTTTATTTGGTTTCCTGCCATTTTAAGGAAATTGAGAGGTTTTAAGAGAAGAGTTKTCCGGATTATCAAGAGAGGGAGATTTCAAGATTTATTGCAAGTATCAAAGTTTCAAAAGAGTTGATTTCTAGCATTTTGGTGACAAAAGCTTTTAAGGTGAGTGGTTTCTAAATCTTTTTACTACTGATTTTATTAGTATGTTTCGTATTCTTATCCTTTGAAATGAAACTTTGATTATTTTGTCTAAGTGTTTATCCGGATGAAGCTTGACCGGATAAGCATTTAAACCGGACAAAGCTTGATCGGATAAGGGTATAAATCGGACAAGCCTTAGGCGGTTTAGTGACCGGATTGTCTTAAACCGGACATGCCTTGAAAGGTTTAGTGACCGGATTAGTTTAAACCAGACAAACCTTGAGCGGTTTGTTGACCGGAGTTGGTAAACCGGTTGATTGGTGAGCGGTTTAATCTTAAACCGGGCGAGTCTTGAACGGACTGTTGACCGGATTTGTTATCCGCTCAAATATGAATATTATTCTAAGTGTAAAACCGTTCAAAGAATATTTGAGGTGTTGACCGGATTAGATGTCCGGACAAAGTGGACTTTTAGTCTAAGTGTTGTAAACCGGATGATTGTTGACTGGATTAGTTGACCGGACTTGTAAACCGGGTGATTAGTGATCGGACTTGTTGTCCGGATAGCTTTATGTTGGAAAATTTTATAAGTTTTTAAATATTTATTTATTTATTAAGGATTCATAAAAATGGTTACTTTATATCTTTTAAAATAAATGAAATGTTTCTACCAAACGTGGTGACGTAAGTCTGTTTTGGTATGAAACTATATTTTGATAATGTTCCTACCGAGCATGGTGACGTAAGTCTGTTTTGGTATTGGAACGGGATTTTGGAAAATGTTTCTACCAAGCGTGGTGACGTAAGTCTGTTTTGGTATGAAACGAGTTTTTGGAAATGTTTCTACCAAGCGTGGTGACGTATGTCTGTTTTGATATGAAACTATATTTTGAGAAACCTTCCTACCAAGCGTGGTGACATAAGTCTGTTTTGGTATGGAAGTGAGTTTTAAATGGTAGTTCCCCCAGACGTGGTGACTTATGTCTGTTCTGGCTTGGAACTGGGAATGAGTACTTTCAGACGTGGTGACTTRTGTCTGTTCTGATAAGTAACTCTGATTTAATGGAGGAATAAAGGTGGCATATCAAGGAGAGGTGTACTTGGAATAAGGGTGGCATTGTCATATGTGGATGTTATTATTATAACTYTTATTATTATTACTAAATTGGATTTAATAACTTTGAATCATCATTTCTTTGTGACCTGATGAATTAAAGATATTATTCCTATTTAGAAGTGATAATTTAGATGTTATTGGGAAGGGGAAAATGGTTTGTCATATCAGGCAAGTTCTRCCTTAAATCTTTCCTGTTAAAGGAATGGTCTTTTAAATCAAAAGTTTTGATATTGGGAATGTTGGATCTCTGTTTAGAGATATTTTAAAGAAGTGAGATTTTTGAATATACTTCTTTATGTATGATATTGGGAACTGCATAAATTGTTATATTGCAGTATCTTTTTAAGCCAGAATTACATTATCATATTTTGGTGGTTGTCACCCTGCATTTGCAAATAAGGGATTTACTCACTAGACCCGTAAGGTCTAACCCTCATTTTCTGTTTTAAAATTATGCAATGCAGGAATAGCTGGGTCCGGGGATATTAAAGGGAAAGGGAAAATGTGATTATTTTCCTAATCTGTTTCCTGCTTTTGGAAGATACATGTTATATTACATGTAGTAGTACAGGATTTGTTTTGGAAATTTTATATGTAGATTTTGTACATATAGCAATCCTTGTACTAGTGGGACCTTCTGATGTAATCCATGTTTCTATGTAATGAAATATGTTTTTTATCCAAATGTGGAGTATGGGGGTGTTACATTAAACAAACATTAGAATCATACATATTAATTGGTAGCATTCCAAGAAGCAAACATAGATTGTGCTAAATTATCCCTAAATGCAGTCCACTCATTTGAAGTACCAACAACATTTATATTATCCCCGTCTTCGACTCCAAGGTCTCCGATTCCCTCTTCCACTTCACCTTCATTGTCAAGTGGATTTACTGACATTTCGTGCATTATAAAATTGTGGAGGAGACAATATGCCATGATGAACCTAACTTTTAAATCAATAGGACAATACGAGTTATCTCTTAAGATTCCCACCTTGCCTTTAACATACCAAAATATTGTTCAATAACATTTCTTGTTGATGAATGCTTCTTTGGCAAAGGTTGGTTGGTGTCCATCGCGCCAATCATTTAAATGATATTTTTAAGGAGCTAAGAAACCCTCTCCATTT